GGAGCAACAAGGCTGGATGTACAGATTATCTTACCAAGCAAAGAAAGTCAGAAAGAGACCAGTACCACATGATATCACTTATACATGGAATCTCAAATACGACACAAGTGAACATACCTATGAAATACAGACCCACAGACAGAGAGAACAGACCTGTGGTTGCCAAGGCGAGGGATGGAGGAGGGAAGAGTTGGGAGTCTGGAAACAGCAGATTCAAACTGTCATACACAGAATGGGTAAGCAAGGTCCTACTGGATAGCACAGGGAACTATATTCAGTATCCTGTGATGAGCCTCAATGAAAAAGAATATATTTATATAGAATACATTTATACATATACGGACATTGGCAATTTGATCTGTGGTTCTCCTGCCTTTTCTAAATCCAGCTTGAACATCCAGAAGTTCACGGTTCACGTACTGTTGAAGCCTGGCTTAGAGAATTTTGAGCATTACAACATTGCTTCAGATATATAAAATTCAGCAAAGGATTTTTAAAAGAAGTGCTATTGTATTACATGATGGATTAGTCTACAAGGATTACAAATAACACTGTAAATCTATAATTGTTAATATGGGAAAACATTCTACAACATATACCTATACAAAACAACAGCAAGTTGCAAAGCAGTATATGAAGTACTATTCTATTTTTTAAAAAAACTTTTAATTTTAGATCAAGTTTAGATTTACAGAAAAATAATAAGCATAGTACAAAGAGTTCGCATATATCCCAAATCCAGTTTCTTCTCATTAATCTCTTACACTGCAACTATGCCTCATGGTAACTTTCTGTAGCACTTTATTTGAGGGATGGTTCTTGGTAAACACCCAAATATCTGGATTTTGTTGTATGACACTAATAACATTTATCTTTTAACAGGTATGTTTTATATTTTTACACTTAAATTTTAAAAGAATATATTTGGTCTTATTCCTCTTGTTTAATTGTTTTATGCAATATTTATATATCATGGTACCTTGTTTTCTATCGTTCCTTTTACTGTATGAACTGGCTTTCTTTATTGTTTTTAGTTTGTTTTTTACTGTATGAATTGGTTTTAAGGAAAAGACTATCAGATAACACTAAGCTTTTCATCTCCCCAACCGCCATTGCAGTGTCTCTATCTGTACCTACATCTGCGTCTACCTCTGTGTCTCTGTCTACATTTGCATTTTGTTTGTCTCTATCTTCATTCAATCTCTGAGTGTTGTGCTTGCTTTTGTGTTGTTGTTTTTATGAAAATAATAGAAGTAATACATTATCTGAGTCTTTGAATAACAAAAAATGTCATCACACTACATTACATAATAATCCAACTTGATGCGCAAGATATGTTTGTCACAATATGTCCTGTGAAAACTATCTGTTGCATCTTTATGTTTGTTACTTGTGTAACTCAACAGTTTAAGAAGTCTGTTATTTCTTCCTTTGCAACTAGTTTGTGTTTATGTGTGCCTGTGTGTTTTTGTGTGTGTGTTTTCTTTCTAGCAGTTCCTTTTTTATCCTCAAAATTAAAAAAAAAAAATTCTCCTACATACATTTAGGAGCCAGTCTTTGAATATTCCAGATAGAAAAATATACACATTGAAAGACTGGCTGAAAATCCCATGGATGGAGGAGCCTGGTAGGCTGCAGTCCATGGGGTCGCTAAGAGTCGGACACGACTGAGCAACTTCACTTTCACTTTTCACTTTCATGCATTGGAGAAGGAAATGGCAACCCACCCCAGGGTTCTTGCCTGGAGAATCCCAGGGGTGGGGGAGCCTGGTTGGCTGCCATCTGTGGGGTCACACAGAGTCGGACATGACTGAAGCGATTTAGCAGCAGCAGCAGCCAATGTATGTAGGAAACTTTTTTTAATTGTTTTCCTCCAAATAGCAGACTCATTCTGTTCATTTGTAATAAAATATCTGCCAAATATCCAAGTCTAAAACAACCATAGATTGTCAGTCATTCTTTCAAGCGAAAACAGTGTTAGATGAAAAAAAGATGCTAGTTCAGCTCACCATTCAATTGAATGAGTGCTTTTCCTTAGGACAAACTTGGTAGTTTGCTACCCAGCGGAACTGCCTTATGTGTATTTCCTATTGCATTATAGAGACTATTTCTCCCAGGCAACAAAGTGGTAAAGAATCCACTTGCCATTGCAGGAGAAGCAAGGTACAGGGGTCCCATCCGTGGGTCATGAAGATCCCCTAGAGAAGGGAAAGGTAACCTGCTCCAGTATTCTGGCCTGGAAAAGTCCATGGACAGAGGAGCCTGGAGACCTGTGGTCCATGGGGTCACAGAGTCCGAGATGACTCAGGGGCTGAGCACATCATAACATTCAAAGACCAAACTTTGGTAATGCAAATAATTTTCACTGCTTCTTCCCACACATTCCTAAGTAAAACTAGTCTTTTGTTTGTTTCTTTTGTTCTGCTTTGGGCTTTTGTGAAGCTGTGTGTGTGCATTTGGGTTGGTCTGATTTGACTGTGAGAGCAAAGTCACGTCTAGTAGGCCAGTTTGGTGTGACTCAGTTTGTGCTGAGAAATCACTGTTATTCTTCTTTGCCTTTGTACCATCAGTGCAAATGTGAACACAGTGAAAAAGATAAATAACTTACTAGTTTTATTATAAAAATAGGGCTGACCTTGCATTCCCCCAAAAGGATCCGATGGACCTTCAGGGTTGCCTGAAAAAGACTGAAAAACTATGTCATGGACCATAATACACTCAGAAACTGTAATGGGTAGGCTTATTGTACTTGATTGCCTTAATTCCAGTACATCTATTACATTGTTCTGATTTTTTTCTCCTGGATTTTAATAATTATATAATATTTCTTAAAATGGTACTGCTCTATCTAATAAACACATTTAAAAAAAGAAAAGAGAAAAACCTTGAGGAAACCAAGACAAATTCTGATTATAGAACTAATACATCTTCAAAACAAAGAAAGAAAATTGAGAAGTGACGTAAAATAAACATATTAAAAATTACTTTCACCTTTTCATCCATCAGTAACTGCTGGTGACATTTTGAAGTATATCCTTTCAAACTACTAGGCCAGAAAAAAGTTTGTGCAACAAATTACATTACAACATTATTTCAGATACTATAAAGTTCAGTAAAGGGTTGTTCAATAAATTTAATTATATTATATAATAAATTACTCTGTATTATAAATAATGGTAATAGCAATTTGCAAAGTAGTATATAAGACAGAATTGTGTTTTTCAATAATTTTTTTAAATTTTAGACCAATTTTGGATTTATAGGAGAATTTCAAGTATAGTACAGAGAGTTTCCATAGCCTCCAAACTCAGTTTCTCCTATCACAGACTTGCTTCGCCTGTTGCCCAAGACCTGCATTTTTTTTCCTCCTGTTTTATATTAATAGAAATTACGACAATAGGGCTAACCCAGCACCACTGATTCCACCATGGTAGAAAGTAAAAGTTCCCTTTGATTTCATTTTGTGCTTTCACAAGCATTTTATAGTTGGAAATGGCATAAAATTTCACTAGCTTTCTATAATACTACCTTAAATGAATACAATTTGTAGCGTTTTTAATATGTTTTTTAAAAAAGCCTAAGAGGTAATGAAATATTTTAAGCCACCAGGACAAAATTAAATATCAGATCTAAGCCATGGGGTCTTTGGCCTCATGAGGAACCTAGAGGGAAATGAATTAACCGTTTTATTAAAAATATATTATGACATATGTTAAGAAATCCAAGAAAAAGATCAGTTAATCCTATTTAAATATTTACTATATTAATCTAATCTCATCCTAAAAAACCTCTGACACTTTTATTAGACACATTTTGCATGCAGTTTCACTGAAATTAAATAAATTACAGAAGCTCACAGACCTAGTTACATTTTGCATGCAGTTTCACTGAAATTAAATAAATTACAGAAGCTCACAGACCTAGTTAGTTTTCAGAGATTGACTGAACACATTTCTGAATTACTCTAAACCCTATGCTATGGACTCAGAAACTGTAATTACCACCCCTTTAACCAAGGATTTATATATTTATATATAAGGTATTGGCATAAATTACTAAGGAAAAAGAAGGTGACCTCTGCAAATAATCAAGAATATGGGGTTTCAGTCTAGACAAAGGGCTTGCCAGGTGGTTCATTGGTAAAGAACTAAGCTGCCAATCCAGGAGATGCAGGTTCCATCCCTGGGTCAGGAAGAGCTCCTGGAAAAGGAATGGCAACCCACGCCAGTATTCCTGTCTGGGAAATCCATGGACAGAGGAGCCTGGTGGGCCACCGTCCACGGGGTGACAAGTCAGACACAGCTTAGTTACTAAACAGCAACACCACCAATGCAAATGAAGCCACTCCCAACTCTTTCCAGTGGACTTCTCCCGAGACACTGGTGAAAAGGGAACTTGATAAAAACAATAAAGGCTTTCTGAGACTGTATTTAAATTAGAATAGAATGTCTTAGTAGAATTAAGACTTCGGATATAATAGATGTTACACAGCCCTTCCCTAGCTTATGATGGTAAATATAAATTTCCAAAGCAGAAAACCTCTCTGCATGCCATATGAGATGTTGCCCGATGCGTGAATCGTTTAACCAAGCCATTCATGCTGTTTGTTAACAGGCTGGTGGCAGTGAGGAATTCCAAAGCGAACTTCTCCTGACGTTCTGGGACAAGTCACTGTCTTTCCTGCCCATTTCTGAACGTGAAAATCCCTCAGTCGTGTCTGACCCTTTGCAGCCCCATGGGTTACAGTCCATGGACTTCTCCAGGTCAGAATACTGGAGTGGGGAGCCTTTCCCTTCTCCAGGGGATCTTCCCAACCCGGGGATGGAACCCAGGATTTCCGCATTGCAGGCGGATTCTTTAGCAGCTGAGCCAGAAGCGGGGCGCCGGCAAGCTCCTCTCTGTGTGAGCTCCAGCCCCTGCATCAGCGTCCCAGCGCAGCTGGCTGTCCTTACAGGGCAGACCTAGCTGGGCCAGGCGACCCAGCCGGCTTCTGCCTGGAGCTAAGCCCCTAGCCTGTAAGACCGCGTTTTTCCAGACTGAAAACTCACACTTGTGCGTGTCACAGCATAGGAATCCCACCCTGAGCTCCCAGGGGGCGCTGTGACACCGCCTCCGTCGTGACGCGCTCGCAATGCGCGGCGCGCTGACACGTCGCGGCGTGCGGGCGCCCGAGCGCGGCTCTGCGCGCGCGTCCGGACAGGCTGTGGCGCGCCATCTCCCTGAGGCGCGGCCCCCTGGGTCACAACACCAGAGGGCGTGCGGTAGCGCGGGGTGGCGGCTTGCAATGGTGAGCGTGCCGCTGCAGGAAGGTTTTGGCCGCGGTGTGGTTTTCTGTCTCGACAGGCATGCTGGACGCGCTCGATGCGCTCTGTGGCTCGATGCGCTCTGTGGCTCGATGCGGGGGCCCTGCCTGGCCTGGGGTCGGGGGTGGGGGGCACTCGGGTCCAGCAGAAGGGACCCCACGTGGTGTGGTCACGCGGCGGCGACGGCGGCAACGGGAGAGGCCTCGAAACACGTTCCTGCGTCTCAGCGTGGTTCCTTCTGTCACGATCGGAGGAATGTGTTGCGACACCAGGGCTGTCACGGGTGCGCGTCTGTATGCGCGCGCTGTCGAGGCGTTCCCTGGTGTGTTGAGAGGCGGGCATTTCCGACGGGGGCTCATTCTCGTGCGCCTCAATCCAGGCAGCGTCCTGACATCCCGTCATGTCGCCGTGGCCCGTTGGTGTGCCCGGTTATGTCCCGACACACGTGGTGGATCGAGATGCAGGGGCATCCTGCCGTGGTGAGTCCAGGCAGTGAGACGGGCACTGTATCGCGGCTGGTGTGATATGTCTGGGCGTGTCATGGTGTGTGCGCACGAGCAAGTCGCAATGTACATGTGGAGATATGCATGTCGATGGAATATACGAATATACATGCAGATGTGTATAGATTTATCACATTCTCTAATCCCATCAAATCCAGTAAATCATCAATGCTATTGCATAATATAATACAGCAATATAACTTGCACATGCACTGAGAAGTCAAAAAAAGAAATTCATGTGGCTTTTTCATTAAAATATTCACTCTATCACAGTGGTAGGAACCAACTCCACAGTGTCTCTGAGGTATGACTGTTCCCAGGACCAGTCTAATGCAGCCATCCCTTCTCACCTGAGGGGAGAGAAAAAAACTGAAACACTTGTGAAGTGCACAGTCCCGAGGCATAAGCTCCCTAAAGACTGAGACCTAATCAGTCAGGACCACAGAAGGCTTCCCCTCCCCCACGCTCACCGCCACATCACCGAACACATACTCTCACTTGTTTTTCTTCCAAGAAGCTGGCTTTTTATTTATTTACCTGTTGATTTTGGCTGCACTGGGTCTCTGCGGCTGCACGCAGGCTTTCTCTAGTGGGGTCTGCTCACCAGCTGTGAGGGGAGTTCCGTTGCAGCGGCTTCTCTGACTGCAGAACCTGGGCTCGGTAGTTGTGGCAAGTGGGCTGTAGCTGCTCCCAGGCATGTGGAATCTTCCCAGACCAGGGACCGAACCCATGTCCCCTGTGTCGGCAGGCAGATACTTTTCCACTGCGCCACTAGGGAAGTCCTGGAATACTTTTGATCTAAAAGATTTCATATAACATTTGTCCTACAACCAGAAATATCCTTAAAATGCTCTTTTTTTTTTCTTCTGCATCCAAATTAGGCTTCCTCGCATGTCTCTAACAATCAGCTACAACACAGAACTTCACCACCCACTTTGGTCCTCTAGTCCCTTACCTCAAGAGAAAGGTTGAGGAAGGAAAACAGATTTTTGGATAACCTAGGGTTGTGAATGTTTTCACTGCAGTGGGCCATTATCTTAACCTTTCAGTGGACAAACCAAACAGTCACAGATGACTTTTATCTATGGGCTATCATTTAATTTAAAAAGATTAGCAGTCAACGTTTCATAAATGAATTTATTCTATAAAACAGTAATTTTAAAAAGTGACCCACAAGATGATGGCTTTTATTATGGTGTACTTAGAATGATATGAATGTTTATGACTTTCTTCAACTCCTAATACTGCATTAATCTGTTTAGGGGAAAAAAAATACTGATGTAGCAGGCACCCTAAGTGCAAAGCATATTTGTTAAGTTATCATTTAAAAGTGTAAATAGGCCAGAGAAGTAAATAATACTTGTATTATAAAAACATTTTATTTTCTTGGTCTTTATAAATTTATGAAGTTATAATTTGTAACTTGCCCTTTTTCAAAATCAAAGTATCTTAAGAGTCTCTAACCTGATACTTCGTTTCGGCTGCCTCCCAGGTGATCTTGGGGATCAAATTTCAAATAAGGGAGAAAACCAGTCTAGCAGTCTAGTAATGATTAACTCCGCTGGGTTTCATGCTAGGTTATTGCTTCACAGCAGGCTAAGATTATTCTCATAATACAAGATAATTAGACTAAGTTTTTCATGGAGAGGAGTATCATAGTTAGAATTTCTGTGAGTAAAATAATATTAATTACCATTTGTAAAAGCCTTAAAATATTCTGGACACTGCCTTTTACAGTATTTCTCTCATGGGGCAATGTTACGATATTAGTAAGTATCATGAGATACTTAGAGAGGTCAAGCAAAAATTTTAAAGGCACACAGTAAATAGAGAAGACAGATTTCACCTGTATCTGTTTAACTGTGAAGCTCATACTCTTTATTCCTATGCTGGTTGCTTGGCACAAAGGTGTATATTTCTAGTCCTGCCGTGACTTCCTGAGGCAAGCTCAGCAGGAATGCAGACCAGCAGTGGAAACCTCAAGTGTCACAGAGATTAGTCAAATCCTTCCCTTGAGAAGCAGGAGTTTTGTTCTTCTGAATTGTTCTGAAATCAAAATATGTGTACATGTTCCACTAGCCAATCCAAAGTGGGATAGGCAAATAAGAATCTAATGTGCAATATTTTGAATGACTTTGCTACCTATAATGCCCCCTGACTGATTCACCTGGAAGTCTCAACAAGTCCTCAAACCACTCACTCAATGCTACTTCTGCCTTCCTCTCAGAAAAAGAAGTTGTGAGCTGTATTGATCAGAATAATGGTCTGTATTTCCAAAGCTCTTCATTGTCCTTGAAAGTTAAAACTTTTCTCTTTTCCTTAGCTTTGGATTTTATAGAAAGGCCTTACCAAACCAGGTCAAGGTTTAATTTTTCTATTGGGAGCTTAAATAATGATAAAATTTATTATTAAATCATCATGATATTACATTCACATCATTTAAAAGTTTTACAATTATTCAATAACTGATAAATTTTAAATATCAGTTACATCCAATTAACAATCCCAGTGTACCAGTAATAATGAGCTAAGAAGGTTGAGTGCCCAAGAATTGCTGTTTTCAAATTGTGGTGCTGGAGAAGACTCTTGAGAATCCTTGGACTGCAAGGAGATCAAACCAGTCAACCCTGAATATTCATTGGAAGGACTGATGCTGAAGCTGAAGTTCCAATATTTTGGCCACCTCATGGGAAGAGCTGACTCACTAGAAAAGACCCTGATGCTGGGAAAGATTGAGGGCAGGAGGAGAAGGGGATGACAGAGGATGAGATGGTTGGATGGCATCACCGACTCAATGGACATGGGATTGGAGCAAACTCCAGGGAATAGTGAAGGACAGGGAAGCCTGGCGCACTGCAATCCATGGGGTAGCGAAGAGTCAGACACAAATTAGCAACTGAACAACAACAATATTAAACACATATAATTAAATCTCAACAGTTTATAAAAAATGGTCAGTTTTATAAATTGCTTCCTATGAGAATTCATTTAATCACATTTAGCTTTTTCCCTTTTTGGGCTTCTTCTCTGTATCAATAAAAGATAAAAGAATATTAAACAAGACTAGTTCCTTATACAAGACCCTTTGAAACCATCTACTTTGAAGTCAAGGCTAAATAAAATTCAGTATCAGCAATAGTAGACATCAAGGCTGATTTTTAATACATCCAACCAGGACTATTTAGTGAAATCTTTCAGGAATGGTGAAGTGAAACGAAGTGAAATTTGTTCAGTCGTGTCCGACTCTTTATGACCCCCATGGGCTATACAGTCCATGGAGTTCTCCAGGCCAGAACACTGGAGTGGGTAGCCTTTCCCTTCTCCAGGGGATCTTCCCAACCCTGGAATCGAACCCAGGTCTCCCGCACTGTAGGTGGATTCCTTTACCAGCTGAGCCACCAGGGAAGCCCATGAACACCGGAGTGGGCAGCCTGTCCCTTCTCCAGCAGATCTGCCCGACCCAAGGATCAAACCGGGGTCTCCTGCATTGCAGGCGGACTCTTTACCAGCTGAACCACCAGGGAATGGTAATTGTGGAGAAAAAGAAAACTGGTCCCCCCACAATGACTACCAGTACAAATGAATTTATCAGGAAGCAAAGCAAGCAGGCACCTATGTGATGCTACTCCAAATTATATCCAATTCAAGGTCTATTCATCCCCGAAAGGCTTAATTAGAGTCTTTGCTTCCAGCCACCAGTTAATACAGTTGCCTTTCCTAATACAAACTCCAATTAAAGTCTCAGACTGGAAACCTGAGCAGGAAGAGAGATAATCTTTTTCTTTCTTTTTTTTTTTTTTGATGAGCGGGGGTTGAGTGGGGAGAGAACAATTCCAGACGAAAAACCAAAGCTAGAGTCTGTCAAAGGCAGAATAGAAAATCTGGAATGAAATCTGAAATGAGGTCCAGATAGTCAATAGCAGCAGATTATATCCCCTGGGCACACAGACTTCAAAACTGGAGTCAGCCTCAGTTCTAGAAGGAAGCCTCTTATACTCACTCTTTACAGAATAGGAACCAACTTTTTAATTTATCTTAAACTACGCCTGAGGCCCAGGCCTCTGACGAACAGATTCAGAGGCATGAGATGGAGAAACTAAAAGATACCTTAGAGATCACAATTCAACTAATTAGTTTGACAAATGAAAGCACTCAGCGCCAGAGCAACAAAGGAAGTTGCCTGAGTTCACACAGTGCATAGCAGACTTAACACCAGAGTCCAGGTCTCGTTGTTCAAAATCTTACTCTCCTTATGCCACAGCACATAAATGGAAGATGCTGACCCAAGAGAAATCAAGTTCTGATGAGGATAAAGAATCGACCAACATTTGAATGAAAGACAAACATCTGATTAAAGCTAGCTCTTCTCAGGGGCCAAAGTAAACCAGAGAGATAGCCTGAAAACAAGAGGAAAACAGTTCAAGAAGATGTCAACAGGTCAAAGGGGCCCAGAGATGGGAAATGCACATGTCTGCTCAGGCATGTCTGACTCTTTGCAACCCCATGGACTGTTTCCCACCAGGCTCCTCTGTCCATGGGATTCTCCAGGCAAGAATACTGGAGTGGGTTGCCATTCCTTACTCCAGGGGATCTTCCCTACCAAGAGATTGAAGCTGAGTACATTGCGTCTCCTGCACTGCGGGGGAATTCTTTACAGTTGAGCCACTGGGGAAGCCTTGGGTGCAGAATGCCAAAAGTTCTATTTCCTCATTTCAGCTCTGTTCAAGGGGAAAAAGAAATGTTTCCTACCCAACTAAGGCCACTTTGCAATTCACTCTGATAGTAAAAATGGGGAATAAAATGCTCATTCTTTGAGAATGCTTTATATCATCATGTGGTACAAGGATTAAAATCAAGACTCAATATTAAGCGTTGGGTGTCATTGGTGACACAGTGATA